GTCGGTGGCCGTACGAGAGAGAGAGAGAGAGAGAGGTTGGGAAATGTTCCAGAAGGAATAACAAGGAGAAGGAGGGAAAAAAGGCGGAAGTGGTGGAAGGGGCAACGTTTGTAAATATATAGCCCCGTGTGAGGATTTGTTTCGACGAAATTTCTCACTCCGTTCCTCTGGTCTCGTTTCCAAGAATACGCGGTATACTTTTAACGAAATGTCTTGGCCGCCACGGGACAATGCGTGCCGAGAGAATTCGTATTGCAAAGTAATACACGGATATGAACGAAAGTGGTCGAGATTGAATAAAACAAGGGGAGGAGAAGCAAGAGGGAAAGCGTATTTTTGTAATGCATACACACGTAGGTTGTAAGCGTTGGAGAGGGCGGGTTGGAGATGACGCGTGTGACGAGCGACATCTAGGTCAGATAAATTGTTATTTCTTTTGATTTGGATCGCGACAATCGCGTGTTGTTGCTGGTGCTACCGGCTTTCAACAGATCCTCGTCGCCACGCGTTTATTTTTTATCCGCGTTCTCCTTTCCGTCTGGCTATGAATTATTTTCGAACGAAGAGGATCCCGCTTCTGCTTGAATTGGTTGTCGTTCGTTGATGTATTTATAGAGAGCGTTTGTCGCCGAGTGTCCATTGGTGGTCGCTCTTTTTAATTTTCAATCGGACCGTGAAGACGACTGTCTCGATTTATCGGACTATGGATTCCACGTATGAAATTGCAAAAATTGCTTTATATAATGAATATATATATTATTTTTATTTCGTACGTGTAATATATCGCAATGATACGTATTATGATTTGTTGTGGGAAAAAATTATCTGAATACTTTGTTAGTTATTAACGCGCGAGAATATAAATCATTTGTTGCAGCTTGTAAGTATGAAGGAGTTTTTACTCGTATGACGGATTTCGAACAAAGGAATATTGAATGTTGAAAAAATTTAAATGAAGTTATGAAACAAACGAGATACGCTGTTAAACTACTTCTTTAATTTAACCAAGAAAATATTTCTTTTTATAACATGAAAAATAACGCGATATTAATAATACGTAATTGTTATAATGTTTGAACTCTTTTATCTGTAAAATATAATTTTCTAATCTATTTGTAAATAATATGCGTTACAATTGAAAATAAATTTCAAGTTGTAAATTTAAGTAATGATTTCTCCTTTCTTCGACGTCTAAAACGATATCACGTCGCAACGAGTGAAATTCTTCGAAGTTAGTAAAATTAGATAACAACATTGTCGACGAATAACAAGTTTAATTTTCCCCCAAGTTCCATGGTGAAACGCGTTTCAAGTTAAATTACCTTTCAAAGAGCCCGCTTCTGTTTGTATTGGAGGATACATTGGTCGATGGTACTTAATGTCGTTCGATGTGTCTCGAATCGAATAAAAATTGAAAATTGTTTCTTTTGTACGACAGGTGGCGTGGCTACGCGTGGACACACAGACAATTCTTACTATAGCAACGCACGTTATCACGAAGAACCATCGGATCGCCGTGACACATAGCGGTCATCGTAGGTGGTGCCTTCACATTCGAGACACCAAAGAGACGGACAGGGGATGGTACATGTGCCAAGTTAACACCGACCCGATGTCCAGCAACACTGGATTCCTCGAAGTAGTCGGTAATCAACTGTTTATTTATTTATTTAATTTTCAATTTGCCGATAATAAATAATTTTTCAAGTAATTAAATAATTCAGGGAATAAATAGGGATATTTATATCGGCTGTTTTCCTTAATTTGTCATTTTTAGAACTTTCGTGGGTTTTAAAAATAAATGTTAAAGAAGCGTTTGAATAAAAATTTCGCGAATCTCCATTCGGATTTAAAATTTGTAATATCAAATACATACTATTCTGCATAATTAGAATTTATTTTTAATATGAAATTAATATGAAAATTAATTCATTGATCCTATTATAATTATTGAATTTAAATTGTTGAATTTTGTATAGGGTATATTTTCGAAATATGTATAACGGAAAATGTATTACAACTTTCTATATAAAGTTTACCGAAATATCAGGAAATGATGTAATCAACTTTTTGAAAAGTTCAACTTTCAGACGTCTACCATCGTACGAAAGGAAAGATGACATTCAATAAGTGGAGTCAACTATCAGATCGTACAACAAATATCTGTAAAAATTCCAAACATTATGGAATAGTGATTTCATACTTATATTTAAACTTTTTTTTTATTTAAAATTGAGATAAAAAACATATTATCGTTACTGTTTATATTCATTTCAAATTTAATGAAAATGATAATCCTCGAAATAATCCGAAACAGAAGTTACATCATTATATCGCACTAACAGAAATTACAAACAATATGCATAATAATATACAATAATTATCAAACATAAAACAGAGTCTGATATTATTGTTTTTATTAGAACCATGAAATTTCACAATATTTTAAATATTATTTCAAATAATTATTATCATTTGAAATAATTATGAAATAAATAATATGTGTTTGAAATATAAAATATAATTTTAATTTTAAATAATGACTGTTTATTAAATCAAATTAAAACGATATTTTATAAATATCAAACGAAAAAGTTATGAAATAAAATAATATAATTTCAAATATGTTCAAATTTGCCTATATTGAATAAATAATAATTTATTCGTAGATAATATATTTTATAATAACAAATTAACCATGATTTTAATATTAATTAATTGTTATTTAAAATTTAAAAATGTTTATATCTTACTATACTTAAAAATATTCACATCTATACTTTTTAGTATTTTTAAAAAAATTTTAATAATCGAGGAAATGTACTAACCAATGTGAAAAAGTTTAGAAATTTTTGGAAGCATTATTTATATTATTTATATCTATGATTAGTTGCCTAATAGATATGGTCTATTTTACAGTAATTAAAAACTTCAATACATCTATTGCAATACACGATACACTACAGAAATATCCATTGCTATAAAATTCTATAGTTTGAATTCTATTTGGTTATAAAAGATAAATATTCAATTCGTAAAAATTACTTAATTGCAATATAAGATTCTCACTGATGTAATAAAAAATTAATTAAATTATTTTGCAATCTTCAAAATTAATTCTATCTTTCATCCATATCATATCATAATCTCTTTTTTTTTTTTTCCAATTTTTTTACCATGAGGAAATGAAATTACATTCCACAAAAATAACAGTGGTTCTCAATCATCTCATAAATGAATACCATTAAAATCAAGTTAATCAATAAACGAACCAAAATATAAAAAGCTCACTCTGCTCCTTTCATTAATTTTTAACTTCTTTCCTGTCTTCCCTTGTAATTTTACTCTTTCGTACAAATAATGTAACCTAAGTAATCCCTTTAATAGAAGAATCAACTAAGCATTATTAAAACTTCTCTTATACGAATAGAATTCGTGCAATTGTAATTCCATTCCACCATCAGTGATCATTTGAGAATCGTTCCACTACAATACCTCCCCCTCACAATCAACCGCCATTTTCACCAAATTCAAGATCGACAAAAACCAGCGAGAAATCCCAAAATCTCCTTGGTATTAGCCAACAAATACTCCGAAGTTTAATAAGGATCATTCCGCGACGAGGAAGGAATTCGCAGAATTTACGCTCACTGTTATTCAGATTTCAGGGCGAATTCACACTTTGTGCTATTGCACTCATGCTGGATGGACGCGCCATTACGGCAAATATTCGCAGCCGAATCTCTGAGATAGCCGGTCGAATTTGTATTGCGCCTCGCGTGGAAACCTTCCCCGCCATCTTTCGGCCCTCCTTGGGAAACTCGGCTAAGCACGGATTCAGCGTTTTCCGTGTGTTCGTAACTCACCCTTGGTCCCGCGGAACACGTCCTTTGGACGGCTAGGCGGCATCCTTCTTCCGTGGCCATGCATCAACCGATCCTTCCCCGCAACTTTCTTGGCACTTGGTACCACCGTTCCTGTTACCGCCAACTTGTCAAACTTACCCAACTACGGTCGCCTTAGAATCCGCACTGGTGTCTCTCTGGTCGCGTGATTGCCACCACGTTGCACCGATATTTAATCCCTGATTATTTCGTTGGTAGTTTGTCTCGCTAGTTGGGTCACTAAGCCAGGGGAATGCATGGCAGCGATTGGATGAAACATAAGAGTATCGTAAGAGATATTCTAAAAGAAGGAAGGGTATGGCAGAAACGATTATTTTGTGAATCACCTGAATCGAATCGTGGAATTTTTTTTGTTCGAGCGTTTGAAACGAATAATTAAGAATCGATCTAGAGTCGATCTTTCAATTCTGTATGCATAATTGGCTGTTCTTTGCTATTTCCAGACATATTATTTTTGACGCTATACGTCTTCGAAGAGTTTGATTTCGGTTGAAATTTGGTTTGTACTAAGTTTAGGTTATGTTTGGGTTAGATCGAGTTTACAACGTGATGGGTTATGATACTCTAGTTTTACTTATCCTACTCCTTGGATATTTTGCGAAGCGAACTAGATCTACGTAGGATTATAATTTTAATTTAAGTTAGATTGTTTACAATCAATGGTTGCGCTTGTTAAACTAGGTTAAATTTTAGACGAAATGGATAAGATATAATTTCCTATCTTGAAAAAAGGAAAAATATTGGAATTTGATTTTCAACTTTTAATTACTTTTTTGCATTATTTTTATAATAATGTTCATGAGAATACGACAATCGCCATATTGAGATTAATAAATAATACTTTTATCGATTTTAATGAGAATATTTTGATATCTACATTTCGAATTATTTTCTGATACGCATAAAAGAAGGTATGGAAAATTTTGAAAATTTATAATGCGATATTAAGAAAGACAATTTTTGAAAATAACAAGGAAAATCATTTATCACGTAATAGTAGATTAAGATATTCAATTAATTTAAATCAACATTGATATTTTAATATCTTTATCATTAGATACTATTTTTATTATATAGCTCTTTCTATAAAATTGATTAATTTTTCGATCGTACTGTAAAGCAAGTGAATTAATTTTGCAAAGGACGAATCTTGTCATAATTTGATCGATATTAACGAGTTAAATTTGATCACCATCTATTGTAATATACCAAAGAAAAGGAAATCGTACTTATGCAAAAAAATTATATCAATTAAATCATCACACGTACATCTAACAATTAAACTATAAAATTGCACAATCCATATTAAATTTATAACCTTACAAAAAAGATACTTAAAAACATTATATTCTAAAAAAAAAAAACTAGATTTTAAACTTTAAACTCGCTAAAAGTATAATCTCTTAAAAAAAGAAAACTAAGACTTCTATTCTCTAACACTCCGTACACAAGGACCAATTAACACTAACCCCACGATCTTAACGAGGTTGCAAATGAGTCTCAGGCTATAAATCCACATAATCACAAATCCACCGTACACACACAACTCTCCTCGTACACTCTCTCAAAGCGTCCGTAGTAGACCTGTCTTCGAGCCAAACCCAACACCCATCCCTTGCAAATTTCTCCTGGGACCAAAAAAAAAAAAAAAAAAGAAAAAAAAGCAAGCAAGAGAAAGAGGACCACCCGCAGCGGTGGAACAAAGGGCACAAAGGAAGCCGTTTAGCGTGGAAACGCGAATTCGAGACAGTGTAATCAAGGGGTGGAAGGAGTCCGGTCGGCCAAGATAGAGACACCTGAGGGCTGCTCGCGCCTCCCCTAGATTGATGTCGAATTTGCCGCGGTGGGATGCAAATATATGTAAAGTGCACACCTTGTACCAAAAACCTCCTCCTTGCGCTCGTGATTGTACTCTTGGTGGGCTATTAAACACCTTCCTGGCTCGACTCGCCCTAATAACTGGCCGGTCCCTCCCCCCTCCCGCCCCGCAACAAGCCCATTTACCAGTCGCTGAGCACGGCAGAACGTGAGCCAGAGAACAACCTCCGCCTAACCCCTCGTTAAATTTCTTCTTTATCGGTGCTCGAGGATCGGTCGACGAAAGCCGCCATTTCGCGAAGGCGTCAGAAGAGCAGGGGGTTGGGAGGTCGCGCAGGAAACGCGCTATCCCTTAAGCTCTTTGATGATCGATCGAGCGGAATTTTTGCGGAGGAAAAGGGGCCTCCTCCCCCTCCTCCTCCTCCTCTTCCTCCAGCACCGTGTGTCGTACGTAGTTTGCATAATTCACCGTTTAGCTGGTGAACAGCTGGACGGCCGAGGGGGCGCTGATGAATTCGTAAACGGGGCAAGATTATATTTGCATGGAAGCAGCACGAGTGTTGTTAGCGGCTGGTAGGTGGACACGCGTAAATAAGTTAGGGGGACCGTTTCTGCGAGTAATTAAATGCTCTCCGCGGGATGTTGCAGGGAGAAACACGCGATTAACTTTCAAATGGAATTCCCGAAATTCCATTAGTCCAGTGGACGAACTGAAGCGTGGCCTCCCCCGTGCAACGGACAATAATTTCCAGGGTGCCCCGGTAAGCTCTTAAGTTTATCGCGTATAACCCTCGTTAAATTCCTTCCTTTATCGCTCGCTGTGCTTTACCCACTACGGCCTGTTGACTACAACACCGTGAAAACACGCGCTCTTCTCACACACTTTCCGCGCGTTCGATTGGCTCTGATGTTCAGTCGAGAGA